TTAATTATTTAGGATGGTAGATATTTAATTATTATCCTTTACAATTAAATCTAGCTAAAAATAATTATTTAAGGCTTCAGGGATTTTTCTAGAATTTTTTAGAATTTTCCGGTAATTTTATGCATTTTCCGGCGAGGCTCCGGCGAGATTTCCGGTCGCCGGCAGCGGGGAAGAAGACCAGAGCAATCCAGTGTGTTGCGGTGCAAGGTAACCTGTGTGCGTATGGATCCATGACCGGTGGATGGGAAATTGATTAAAAGATGGATTTGGTGTAGCGCGGGACACCATATGATGGTGCGCGCTAATCATCAGCCGCAGGATGAAAGGAGCATAGGTGGATTGATCCGGTGTGGCGCGCATGTAGGAAAGATGATGCAGCCAACCAACCGGAGGATGCCGCGTCAGCAAGAAGCCTTCAACGCGCGCGTGGGAGCCCGTGCGCGCCGTGGAACTCTCTAGACGCGCGTGCAAGCGCGTGGGAGAGTGGGGAAGGTTGGGCTGCGCGTGGGGAAGCTTAGGGCGGCGCGTGGGGGCGCGTAAGGGGCCCTGTCAGCTGCTGAAAATTACCAGAATACCCCTAGGGCCTGTTTTGTAAATTCCAGAACCTTAAACTTGGATTTTTAGGTACCGTGTTGGTATTTACGGGTTTAACGGGCCACGAAATTATTATTTTAATACCCGTTAAGTATTATTATGGCCGATTAATATTTCTAAACCTTAATTGGCCCGTTTACCGTACGGATATGAATGTGATTCATTTAACAACATTACTATAGATGGTGTTATTATTTTATTAAATGGTATTCATTATTACTGTTCAAATATAATAATGTCACGGTTATCGTCATATAAATTATCCATTATATATTATGGGATATTTACACTGTTAATCATATATCAACCATGATTATTATGCTGTGTGCATTTCAGAGAATAAATGGATTGTTTAAATTATGTCGCATTTATATTATATGGATGCGTTGCCATATAGAACCATGTGAGCTGGCTAATAAGTTTAGACTCATTTATACCTTATGCATTCGTTGCGATAGACAGATATGTGGCTGTCGGGGTATTTGGTTTAATATTATTGGAATGTGTTGCCTAATTGACATACACGGTATATTTATTAATATTGTTGGCATGTGTTGCCTAATTGATATGCTCAGTATATTCATTTGTACATGGAGATGCGTTACTACTATGTAGTCTTTACAGTCGGTGTTGTTAGTACCGTGCACCGTGTATAATAGCTGATTTCCCGGGTAGGGAAAGGAGACACTTAACCACCTAGTGTGAGTCTAAGTGAACCCGTCTATTCTGGTTGAGGTCATATTATACATTGGGTAGTTCCATTTGGATGTATACAGATATAGTACTCATCCGATTCATAATGATTAATTTATTTGATTCTCTGATTTGGGTCATAGTAGAGAGGACTTGCTCGTGGGGTTGACCCACCATTGTTGTTATTTCAGGATACGGTCAGTACCCGTTCCAAGGTTGAAGTTAGCAGTGTGGGACCACCATCCGAACTCATCTACTCTTACGATCCAGTTCAGGGTAGAAGTTTTATGTATTACTTCAGTTTCAGTTTTTATTTACTTTTGACGTTGAACTCTCATGTTTATATTTAGGGATCGTTGACATAGGATTTCCAAGTTGTACTGGAGTACTGTATTAAATAAAGGATGGATGGATGTTGTATTATTTAGTGTTCCTTTCCTGTCTAAATTCTTTCATTATCATTATTTTGTATTCCATGCTTGTATATTGCCAATTGTTTTTTTGATATCCCTCGTTTTTCGTGTATAAACCTGATCAACTTATGCGTGGAAAATGTTGGGGGTGTCACACTATGCCTTGATCTTGATTTCTTGTATTACTTCTATCGTGTTAATTGGAATGTTCCAATCCGGTTAATTGCATAGATATTATGCCTTGTTCTTGACTTCACGTATGACTCTTTTTGTGTTTCATGGAATGTTCCATCCTTGTGAACTTGTATAGATATGATGCCTTGTCATTGATTTCTTGTATTACTCTTATCGTGTTACTTGAAATGCTCCAACATTGTTAATTTTATAGACATTATGCCTTGTACTTGGTTTCATGTATAATCCTTGTCACGTTCATTGGAATGCCCCAATCTTGTTTACTTGCATAGATATTATGCATTGTCCTAGACTTCATGTGTTTTTCTTATCGTGTTAATTGGAATGCTCCAAACCTTGTTTAATTGTATTGATAATACAATTCATGTAAATCTATGTTCAAACATCTTTCTTGTCTTGTTCTTGGATTATCCCAACCTTGATTCATTTCATATATGTATATATATATCATGATTCTTGTTGCTTAGACTCTTAGGTAGCTTAGGATGCTCCCCGAGTCTCACTTTGACATAGACGTTAGGTGGCATGAGCCCCTTTGACATATTTTACCTTAAGGTGATAAAATTGTAAAATGCTAGGTCGATGCATGCTCATCTTCTACGAGTAGCTTTATTTTGCTCACCCCTACGTTACTGGGGCATATTTCAGGTACGAATACTTGGTTCGTGACGCCTAGCATTCCTTAGATGTCGTGTAGCTTTCATGTTTCCATTTCATGCAAATTTTAGCACGAAATGTCATTTTGTAGACTTATATGTCAAAATACGTATATTTGATTCCATGCATGAAATGTGTACTTCAGTACACTCCTTTCAATGTACTTGACATGTTTGAGATGAGGCCGGAGGCCAATGGCATGTAATTTGTATCTTATGTAATTTCTGACTTTATGGATTATTATGAAAATATTGAAAAATATTGAGTTTTTGTTTCACCATGTTTGCATTGGGTAAGGGAATTCCATTTTTAGCCTTTTGTAGGACGTCATTAGTTATGTATGAAGTGTGGCCATGAGCCAAACGGTAAATTGAAACCAGTTGTTGATTTTAGTTTTCAAAATTTTCATTTTAAGTACATTTTCGCCTTTTTGGCCGTTGGGGGGTCGGATTTTGACTCCGCCATTTTCGGGGGCCGCAGACCATTCCCACGCGCTCAAAATCACTATTTACATTTGCGTGCATGACCGTTTTCATGAAAAACCCTTTCATTTACGTTTTGAGCCTCCTATGGATTCATTTCACCTTTTTTGTTGAAAATTCTAGCTTAAGGTAATTTTTCGTATTTCCTTTGGAAAAATAAATTCCGTTCTCAACTGTGCCTCATAGAAAATGTGATTTTAGGGGGAGTTTCTTTTTTGTGTTTTTGCAAAAAATGTCATCTTGGTCTCGGAAACTGCGTCGCAAACTCAAATTTCTGCTAAAACACTGTTCCTGCTGTCTAGGGTTACTTCTGCCCATGTGGGTGGGCGCCCGAGGGTCTTGGGTGGGCCCCCGCCATGCATAGGGCCACTCTGCACCATTTCCCACTGTTCTGCCCATTTGGACGGGCACCCGCGGGTTTTGGGCGGGCGCCCGCGGTTACTGTTCTTGCACTAGACACTTTTCTTCAACAGGCTATATCTCATTCGTTTTAACTCCGAATTGGTCCGTTCTTGAGTCTAAAATGACCGTGTCGAAATAAGATTTCCAATGGTACCAATTAGAGCTTTAGATTCCAATTGTAGCTGAAGTTATTCATGTTTTAGTAAGGTATTGTCAGAATTTAGTTTGAACCGAGATAGGGTTTCCCTTCCTTTAACTTCAGGAATTGATATCTTTGCCGTCCGGACTCCGAATCAAGTGATTCTTGAGTCCATCTTGGTTAATTTTTTGTTTTCTATCCAGTGGCATACATGGGGGTATCCATTTTAGTTTGAAATTACCATTTTACCCTTTGAGCCTTTAGTGCTCATCTTCTTCATCTTGTCATTTCTCTTTCATCCGGACTCCGAATCATGCGATTCTTGAATCCATCTTAATTAGTTTTTCATTGTATTTCTAGTGGTGTGCTTGGTAGCACCTGAATCCATATTTTTACAAATGACCATTTTGCCCCTGAGGGCTTAATTGTTATTTTTCTGATCTTCTGCTCCCACGTCAGTTCTTATTGAGTTCCATGACCTCGTGGCAGGTCATCTTAAGGTCTTAGAGGTGTTTTATTTCTTGGGTGACCATTGTCTTGTTTCTCTTTAGCTTTCTCATTTTGGATCCGTTTCGGGTCATCATAGGACACACTAGGTTAAAAAATCCACGGTCGTCACATGTTATGCAATTATACCGCCGATACAGTATGCTGTCTTTGTATGCTACAAGACACTGGGCTTCCTATGTTCTTACTATTGTTAACAGTGTGACCACTATAATTCAGCCTTTGTCCCGGTTTCCTTTGCATTAGCAATCAAGAAGGGGATAACTTGTATTTGATTGGCTAATATTCTTTGAAGGTATTGATGATTGCTTTTCTTGCTTTTTAATTTTTTATCTGTTCATTTAAAATTATTCCTTAGCAGTTTCATTAGTTCACCAATATATTCTACTTGTTGCATGATAGGTAAATCAACTTTGGCATATCATCTTGCTAAATTGTCAGCTCTTACAAATAATCGTGTTGCAATATGTTTTTATTTTGATTAATGCAAATAATTTTTTTATGTTCATGTGGAACTTTGGAGATTGAACTATTACCTGTTACTTTCTTACTGTACACAATGGAATTGTCAGCTCTTAAATGAATTCTCACTTTTTTGTTTTCTTTTCTAGGAAGGATAAATAATAAGCTGACAATGAAATGAACGATTAGTGAAGTGAAAAAAGTGAGTGAACAAAATACCGAAGCTTCAACTTCAAAATCATCCCAACCACCTCCGAAGAAGAGATGGGGCCCGACACGATGCAAGAATGTCGTCAACGCGACAACCTTATTACCATTAAGGTATATATATATAGAGAGATCATCTTATATATTTTACATAATTAGACTATATTCAATATGAAGGGTAAAAAAGGATTTCTATCTTTATTTTTGTACTAAACATCTACAATTGTTAATTTTTGTTTAGGATTAATAAGTATGGACAGCCGATCGGCCTTGGAAGTGGTACATATACTAATTATTTGGGAACACTTGCCCGGAATGGTAAATTAGCTCCTTTGTGCTACAAAACTTGGTGGGAGATGCCAAAACGGCTTAAAGAGGATATGTGGAACATTGTAAAGGTAAAACCCTTCAATGACATTAAAATAATTTTTATGGAAAAAGTGGATTAACATGCAGCAATTATCACATTTTCAGGGAAAGTATGATGTGGGAATCATGTCAAAATAGTGGACATTATCCTTTATCAGAAAAATATGGAGGGGGTACAAGTGTGAATGAAAAAGTGAATACTACTCGGTTAGGGATATCGATGCAGAAAGATTGGCAAACCCACCACCTGATGTTGAAAAGGAGCATTGGGAATTTTTGGTTAGGCATTGGGGTACGCCTATGGCGAAGGTAATCCTCCATCTACCAATTTTGTTTAAAGTCAATGAGTTGAATTTATAGTTTACCTGCTTTCAGTCATTATTTTAGGTGCAATGTTCTTTACTCAAAGAACGTTTACTTTTTCTCACTTTTTGTAGGAGGTCAGCAAAAAAAAAACAAAGAACGTCGTGGGAAGTAGACAATGATGCATACTACAGGGACAAAAAGCTTTGTACATGTTTCTGCTGAGGTTAGTTGAAGTTTTGGCAATATAAATTATTTTAATTCTTATGTTGTTGAATGATTATAAATGTTAGTGGTAAATAATATATATCACAATGTCTATGTTTTTTTTTCTAGATTGAGGAAAAAGAAGGTATTCAGCTTTCTCATGCAGATTTATTCATTCGCACACATATAAATAAGGATGGCAATGCTACTGATGTTGCTGCTTCGGAGATGATTGTAAGTTTTCATGCTTCCATTTTCCAAAAAGGGGGTCACGTGCCTTGAAGTGACTAATTTTTAAACTCTTTACGGTGTATTAGGGGGTCACATGCCTTGAAGTGACCAATTTTTAAATCATCGGCCCGTGTGGAGGCATTTTAATTTCATTGCTTCTCATCGGCCTATGTGGAGGCAATTTACTTTCTTGTATTTGTTGAAAAGCATGGGAGTATGGGATCATTGTATGTGGAGGCTTCTAGTTGATTGATTTGTGTTATGGAGGAGAAGTGTTTGCTATTTGTTGTTTATTGTTTGTGTTAATTTCTTACTCATACCAGTGCAATGGTCTTTTGAATGTAGGCAACTTCAAATAGTAGGAATAAGGCTTTGTTGAGTTAAGCTGAATAAGAGTTTTTGGTTATGCAACATATTTTTTGAATCAATCACACTTTGTCTTGGAACCTATTCTAGCCCTTGTTATTCCATTAATTAATCTTGAAACCCTTTTCTTTCTCTCTTCAATTATGAAATTTCATCTCAAGGATCTAAATCAGCTCTTTATTTAAGAATTTACTTGAACTTTAGGAACGGCAGTGAGATTGAAAAAACAAAACAAGTTGAAAAACGAACTTAGTAAAACTGACCAGAACTAAAGATTTAACAGATTTGAGAGGTGACTTGCCCAGAGAATACTTGTATCACTTTACAAGCTTTGTTCTCTCAGTTGTGAGGAAACAGGTAGTACAATTTTGTGTGACACACAACTATATCATGTTCAATGTGAATTGAGAAATATGTAATTAAAAAAAAATTCTCTATTAAAAACTAATATAACCTTGCTATATGGAACAAGAGCTCAGTATTAGGTGTCTTCAGGCCTTAAAGTCATTGAATGGTAGAAATCATATACAGGAACACATTCAAATTAAAATGTTCAGAGACTTAGAATCTTAGTAACTTTCATTCATATGACCCCTTCATATTTAAGTACAGGGTGGTAGAACATCATTGTTTATAATAACTTGGACCATAGTCAGCACATTATGTTGTACTTTATGCTTGCATTTCCTCATTCTCCTTCTATCATTATGTTGTTTCATTCCATTATGCCTATGTTTTGAAACTCTTTCATAAGTCTAGTTTGATTTTTTTCACCTTTTCTACTGCTTAGTTCCCCACACAAGATAAATGATCTACTAGTTGTTGGTTCAAAATGTCTCTGATTGCTCCCTCTGCTACTTGAAATGTTGCTAACAATTCTTTAATCCTCTTTAGGTTCCTTATGTGAACTAGTACTGAAAACATAGCAAAGGAAATGTTTTTCTACTATAATGAATCTTCTATTGAGGAATGATGCACAGAAGATATAGATGTTGAGTCCATTTTTCACCGCTGCTCTTTCACATTACTCCAGAATCTCCCTCCATTCTAAAAGTCAGATATACCACCCAAATTTGAAACAAGGACTAAGGTGTATGTAATTATATTGGTTACATTTATGGAAACTTGATACAGCTGAACAATTTGATATAATCTTTGATCTACTTAGTTACCTGGAGCTAAAACTAGATTAAAAAGCAAAGAGCCAAAAAAAAGAAGAAGAAGGAAATCAATGTTTTTGGATTGTTGCAGTTTTGTTGTTAATACGTATTTCAGCAATTTTATGTTGTATGAGCCTACCTGTGTAACTAAATTAATAAAATATCTGAAATATCTCCATTCTCTAGCTGATATAGTTAATTTATTTTACAATTACAAATGTTGGACACGAAGCATTCTATTTAATTTATTTTCTATACATTTATTATTATTATTATTATTTTTATTTTTGTTTGCAGGAAAGCATAAAAGATCTTCAAAAAGTTACTCTGACTCGCCTATTGGCAGTTCCAATGATTTGTTCTCCATTGTGAGGGGAGAAGAGAGAACTGGTCTTGTCCAGATGCTTGGCTTAGGGCCTACACCAAGCGATGTTTGGGGGCCCTCTCCTAGTAAAGCTGAACTGATTAATAATGCCAAAAAATCTGATGAGGAGGCACATGCTGCACGTGTAGAGTTACAGGAGACCATTTCAAAAATGCAAGTCGACTATGACAACAAGTTGGAAAATTTACGAGCCAACTATGACGACAAGTTGGAAAATTTACAACAACAGGTGGTTATGCTAATGCAGATGCAACAACAAAATTGTAGTGGACAGGTATATTTATTATTAGTTTTATTCTTTTCTAAATATATGTTTACTTATGCCAAGATTTCATGTACTTTGTTTTGTTATTTTGAAGGGTTCTGATTCTTTAAATGCTTCTCCTAGAGTATCCCCAAATTCATTTTCTAGTCATGATGCCAATTCAATTAAGGTTATGAACTTTTAATTTCTCTTTTATGTTAAATTTTCATTTATTATAATGTTCGCTTAATGAATTTATAAAAATGTAGGGTAATTCAAATCAAATGGGCAAGAAGACTTGTTGAAGTTGAAGTTAAAGCTGAAGATGGGGTCGTGGTTATGCATTTTGAATTTCCTTTGCCTTGGAAGGGTTTTTTTTGAAAAACTTGTACTACATTTGTCAAAAATTCTTAATTCTTTTTGTGTGACATTTAGTAGCTTTATCTAGACAATTTGGATGGTATTTTCATATTAGCAGGTTATCTTGTGGTTGTATTAACATACATTTTGGCTTTTTGGTTGACATTTACCAACTTTATCTATTAGTAGCCAATTTCAGTGGTATTTTTCATATTGGCAGTAGGTTGACTTGTGGTTGTATTATGTAAAAGCAATTTGGATGGTATTTTTATATTGACTTGTGTTATATTGGATGACATTTAGTAGTGGTAAAGATATTTTTTTCCAAAAACAATAAAAGGGGAAAAAGGAAAAAAAAAAAAAAATGACCCTTTTACTAACGCTCTTTTAAGAAGCGCTGGCATTGGGGGAAAAAATATGACGACCCTGGATTTACAAACCCAGTGTGTTCTGTGATGACCCGAAACGGATCCAAAATGCGGAAGCTAACCAAGAACAAGTCTATAAAGATGTTTTTCATCCCTAAGACACAAGAATGACCTTCCGAGGAGTCCCATGACTCAGCGGAAGAAAAACCGAAACTAAGGTTTCAAAACCCTTTAAGGAATGAACCAAGGGTAAAATGGTCATTTCAAACTAAAATGGGTGCCACTGTGCACACTGTTAGAAAGAAAACAAAAAATTAATAAAGATAAACTCAAGAATCACTTGATTCAGAGTCCGGATGATAAAGATATGAGGATAGGACAAGCGGCGTCCTCCGATTTAGAGATACCATGACCCTATCTCACTAAAACCATCATAACTCTCACTATGGTTGGAGTTTCAGTGTGTGGTTGGCACCATTGGAAAGCTGACTTCGAGTTCTTAAGATTAGGCTCAAGAATAGCCTAATTTGGATCTAAAATAAGTAAGTTATGACCATTTGAAGATAGGTCATCATTGTAGCCTAACTTAGTCGGTTGAGTTATGAAATAAGTCGGCTGAGTTAGGCCGAGAGCACCAAAACTAAAAAAAATGAGGTGCGAATGAACTCAGTCGGCTCTTTTAGCAACTGAGTCGGCTGAGTTGGGCCGAGAGCATGCAAAATGATGAAAATGATGCCCAGGTGAACTAAGTCGACTCTTTTGGGAACATAGTCGGCTGAGTTGGGGAGAGAGTTGGCTCCTTTGGCAATTAAGCCAGCTCGATCCTGGGAACAAGGCAAAAAAAATTACAGCAAATGCTGCTATCTACTGCAGGTTTATTTTTAACCCTATACAAGCACTCTAATTGTTCAAGAATGATTCCCTTAACACCCAAAAATGAAATACAAGTCTCCAAAACATAGATAAACATAAATGATCGTTTACAAATGTGTAAAACATAATTAAAGGTGCAATTTAATCAACAAAAGGAAATAAGTAAAAGATGGCTTTAAGGCCTCATTACATATGATCCATGGTTATACAAAAGATAAAACTAAGGTGAAAATGACATTGTGACTCTACCAATAAGATTACAAGTCCTAATTCCATTTTCCCCTTCAAAAAGGATCCATATATAACATATTACACATTTCCAAGGAAATTAAACAAGCTTCAATATACCATACATCCATGGTTTACAAAGAGAATAAAACAAGGGATGCTAAACAAGTGCATGCATACAAAGTTACACAAAAGGTAATCCAACGCGACCAAGCCATGTCTAGGGATGTTGTGCAGCCCAAAATAAGGTTTCTTTACTTGAAAAATAACCCAAACAACTAGGGTGAATAATCAAGTTACTCGTAGGATGTGGTACATGCGCATATCCTATAGTTTCAAGTATAATATGAACCAAACATAAACCATTACAAGAGTGCATTCCACCTAACGTCTATATTTCCATGGTACTCTAAGGGATCATCTCAAGCTATATAATTATTTGAAATGATAAATACATAGCATCCAAGTATACATAAACAAGTACACTAACCGCATTTAAACTAAGATTACCAAATCACAAGCTACAAGAAATCCATAATTTACAACTTGGAAAGAAATGCGAAATCAAATAATGGAAAGACTAGGATATGTGGCCATGAGACCATACAAGTTATTTCGGGTAATTACGACCCACAAGGTACAACCTAGTACGCACTATGACTTAGGAGAATTCTTACCCTCCGTACTAGAGCCAAACCCTAGCCATCAAACATTTCATATCCTTTTAAGCTTCCAAAAATTAGCAAGTCCATGACATTTATATAATCTCAATGCATGTAACTACCTACCAAGCACAAGTAGGGTGAAACCATACAAACCATGCCCCTATGGTTACATGTCTAAAGTGACAAGTTAATGATACTACACATTATGTTACATCAACTTACTATCAATGTAGGCCACTATGGCTAATCATGCAATATAGTAATCTACCTACAAATAATTACAAGTACCACATACAAGGTTTTTCATACTAATTCTCAATGAAATCTATATTACTTAACAACTTAAGTGCAATTCCAAGATATTCATTAAAAGCCCTCAATGAAACCACAAGTATTAGGCATATCATTAAACAACAATCTACCTATATAACTTAATACTCATATACATGCTTTAAATCTAGAAATCCTAAGTCAAGCATATCAAATCTCTCTTTATATGCAAATACAAGAATTAAAGAAACATGTAATCAATATATATATAGCCCCAATATATATAAAACCCAAAGAGGATAAACATACAACCACCCCTACCTCAATAGAGAATTGAATCTCTATAATCCAAAGCAACCAAGCTTAAAATAGTAAACCAATCTAGGGTTTTGTAGAGGAGAGTGAGAGAAAGATAAAGTATTCCAAGTTTTTGGTTCTAAGGTGAGTGGAAGGGCACCAAAATGAAGCATAAAGCCTTAAACCAAGCTTTTCCTTCAATGGTGGCTAGGTTAGGGTTTGAGAGGAAAGAGATGAAATGAAAATGAAATGCAACCCTAAGTTAAATGTGGTGGGATTCTCCACTCACTATGTGCTCTTGCACTACCTCTCACACACACACAATTGCAAGACCAATTGTGAAGCCTACACTTGTCACCATCTTATGTAAACTTTCAAGACTTAACATTGAGCCTAGACTTGTCAACCATCCATGCCAACAAGTGCTCTTATCCTAGGCCAACAAATGGGTGAATCTCCACCCTCTATGTGTCAAGAGATCATGTTTCCAAGTCCTTCCACCCCAATGCCAACAAGTGGCACCATGGGAGTGTGACACTTGTCACACTTTCCAAAAATTGCTAAAAGGTCTTTTTCCAAAATATCTCCCAAATTAAATTATAAAATGGTCCCTAAGATGAAAAATAATTACTTTACTTAATTACACAAAAACCCTCAAGTTGCGAATATTCACCAAAAAGTCATGCATCCATGCCCTTTATAAGGAAAGTAAATAATTAACATGTTTTTCTACAAAAGTAAAAATGTAGATATCATGGAATTTAAATATCATGGATGTATGCAAGGCCGGAGTCAAATCCGAGCACAAAAAGTGAGGTTAGGCAAGGAAAAATGAAAAATAAGAAAATGAAGAAATAGGGAAAAAACGAAAAAAGAAAATTATCAAAAAAAAGAAAGGAAGTAAAATGACCTGGTCATTACAACCTACCCTCCTTAAAGGGATTTCGTCCCCGAAATCGAATCATACCTGAAAGAGAGAACAAATGGGGATACCAAGAGTGAACCTCCTGTTCAAGCTCCCAGGTAGCCTCTTCAATGCCGTGGTGTCTCCATAAGACCTTAACCAATGGAATGTCTTGGTCCGCAAGACCTGCTCCCGTGAATCAAGAATCTGGACCGGACGTTCCTCGTAGGTCACGTCCTCATCAACAACTACATCCATCCACCGCAAAACATGCGATGGGTCCGGCTCGTACTTCCTCAGCATAGAGACATGAAAGACGTCGTGAACCCTATCCAGGTCTTGCGGTAATGCCAAATAATAAGCAACCTCACCGACGTGCTCCAAAATCTCAAATGGTCCAATGAATCTAGGAGACAACTTGCCAGTCTGTCGAAATCTCAGAAGCCCCTTGCGCAGAGAAATCTTAAGAAAGACATGGTCCCCTGCCTCAAAAGATAAGGATCATCTCCTCCTGTTAGCTTAACTCTTCTGTCTACTCTGTGCGGTAGCCAATCGCTACCGAATCAACTTGATTTTCTCTGTAGTCTCAATGACAATGTCAGGATCCAAGGCAATGGTATCACCGACCTCGGTCCAACAAACTAGAGATCTGCAAGGTCTGCGATACAATGCCTCAAAAGGTGCCATTCCAATACTGGTCTGGTAATTGTTATTGTAGGCAAACTCAACCAAAGGTAAATAGTCCTCCCAACTACCCCCAAAATCCAAGATACAAGCCCGTAACATATCCTCCAATATCTGAATGGTGCGTTCTGACTAACCATCAGTCTGAGGATGGAATGCCGTGCTAAAATGAAGCCCTGTATCAAGAGCCTCCTGAAAACTCTACCAAAAGTAAGACGTGAACCGCGGATCCGTATCCGAAACGTTGGATACAGGAACTCCGTGAAACCTGACAATCTGCCTCACATACAGTCCACTCAGTCTTTATGCACTGTCTGTCACTACCATGGGTAAGAAGTGTGCGGTCTTAGTCAACCTGTCAACTATGACCCAAACGGCATCATTCCCTGCCTGAGACCTCGGAAGTCCCGTTATGAAATCCATAGTGATATGCTCCCATTTCCACTTAGCTACTGGTAATGGTTGTAATAATCTTGCCGGTCTCTGATGCTCTGCCTTTACTTGCTTACAAGTAAGGCATTGAGCCACAAACTGTGAAACGTCCCGTTTCATGCCTTGCCACCAAAACTGTCGCCGTAAATTGTGATACATCTTCGTACCACCAGGATAAACTGCGAGCCGAGAGTGCTGAAAATTCCAAAGAACATCTTCACGACAAGACAAAGGAACAAACATCATTCCCTTGTACCTGAGACCACCGTCTGAATGTAAGGTCTAACCCTCTACATCCTCACCGCCTAAAATTCAATCATGGATGGCCTTCATCTCCCCATCCTCCAATTGTGCCTCAATAACTCTACTAACAAGTGCCGGTTGAGCCACAAGGCTAAATAAAATAGCCGGTGAAACATCCTCATACCACTGT